CCAATTGGATCGCATGTTGTGAATCATTTGTTGCAGATCAAGATTTCAAAGCACATATCGTGAATCATTTGATTCAGATCGGGACTTCGGAGTGCGTATCATGAACCATTTTATTTACAGTAGATCAGAACTTTGTAGCGGGTTCGCAAATCTTTTGATTCATATTAAAACTTTGTAGTGTGTTCGTGAATCATTTTGCGAATTTAAAGATTTGTGATTGTGCTCCGAAGTCCCGATCTGAAATGATGGTTTACGAATCATTTGATTTAGATCAGAACTCGCAAATATTTTTGGATTCAGATCGGAACTTCGGAGCATGGATTGCAAATCATTTGATTTAGATTGGGATTTTGCAGTGTGCTTGTGAATCATGATTCATAGAACCAAGTCCCTGTATTACACTGTACACTTAGACGGACTAAGAAAATATCTGTCACTACTTCCGTTTCATAGCAACTTTAATGCATATTTACTGTAATGTAGAATAGGATAAAGGTAAAGTTTGGCCTTGCCTTTCTCTCCTGCCTTTTCTTGTTCTCTGTGTTGTGGAGGCGGTCCACCAGACTGGATACACCCTGCTCCAGTGTGTCCAGTGTGTGATGCTGTGGGTCATGACCGCTGAAATTGTCCCTCAGACTGCGCAGAGCATCGCGCACCAGCTGTAGCTCATCCCCCTGATGCACACATCCAGCCAGAACCAGAGAACAAACAATGCACACATTTATAAAAAATTAAGCAAATTCTTTTTAAAATGAAGAATGACATGACTCACCATTCTGTGTTGGAAAACAGCGGAGGATGTGTCCATCATGTGACTGTAGCCATTATTCTCACAGCCTGACAACTGGAGCAGGCAATTTGGTATTGTTAATGTAGAACACTTCAAATTTACTAATTACAGTAATCCACATTTGATGGGAATCAGGGAATGTCTAAGAAATATAAAGCTAAATACATTTAAGAAGGTCAGGTAATAAATTACAGCTACAGAGCGTTTATGTATTATTACAATATAAAAATTTGGTAGGATGTACAAATATCGCATAAATAGGCCCCATTTTGCCCTAGTAGTTCATTCAGTTACCCTGTGATAGCTTTCACTGATCCTGCGCAGTGCATCATCCAGTTTTGACTGCTGCTG